TCAAGATTAACAAGGGCAACTTAAACAGGACCCATCTCATAAAAAGAATAAAGTGAACAATGGCAGAGTTAACATTTCTGCTTTTTACTGCAGTGTCATTTCAGCATGTCATCATCGTAGACACTGTTGGCAGGAGATCTCTTGCCTCTTTGTACTAAGTCCTCAAAGTCAAATGGGTGCTGTTCACCCAGATGAGCCTCACGATGCTTAGTGCCACGTGGTGTTTGGACCCTGGGGCAGGAGGGAGACTGCTCGTCTAAACTGTCCGGAAGGGCCTTGGGGTTTGGAGATGTGGAACATATTTATGTTATTCCTGATCACCGAAAGCTCCTCGCTATTGCTTTGGACTTGAGGCTGGCAGGCTGTCTATGTGGGAAGCTGGCTTTGCTCTTGGTTAGTCACCCTTCCCGGACTAGAGCCATGTTTTGATGCTGCTGGGATCTGTCCTTTGCAGAGAGCCACACCCTTCTCGCTCTGCATCCTAATTGTCTACCTAAGAGGTCTGGAAGTGTTAACATTACCTGTCTCTTCCTGGCTGGTTTAAAACTACAAAAGGAGGAATGTGAGTCCTCTCCCACTGTGGTGTAGCACAGAATGAGAGAGCTGTTGGGGATCCACGCATCTCTGGGGCCATGCAGGTGCATGTCTGGTAATGGCCCAGTGCCCCCAGGCCCTGTACACTCAGGTGGATTGGCACTGTCCCCACAGAGTGGATCTGGGCTGCTCCCTGCCGGAGTTAGGCCCTGTGACTCATTCTTCAGTGGGGATATGAGGAGCTGCTTCACAGAGCATTCCTCACATTGGGGATTTTGCTCCTTGTGACCCTTAGGGAATGAACCCAGTGGTCAAGGTTTTGTTACACTTCTGTCATGAATTCCTCCTTGATGCACCCTCAGGTTCGTGGATTAAGAAAAGGGCTCCCAGTGGCAGGCTGGGCTCCCAATATCTTGAGTCCACAGCATGTAGGGATGGTTGTGGCGATACCACCAATGGTGTGGGTCGCCACCCCAGCTATGATAGGAGACCCTCTTGGACCTCAGAGGCTGTGGCTGTGGGTCTGCAGAGGGGGAACTGAGTATTTTGGGGATGTGGAGAGGAATATGCTCTCCTTGGAAGTGATCCTAACTTGCCAGTGGAGCTTAGGAACATTGTGTTGTGCTGTGGCCATAGTGTTATCAGGACACGCTCTCCTGACCCAGCTCCATCTGCCACAACAGCCCCTCCCCTATTGGGCCCCACTTCATGCTGTGCTGGGTGTGAGTCACCTTTTCCTGGTCACCCTCAGCAGTCACCAGCATCCCAACCTCAATTCCAGCACCCGTGAGGTGGGAGCTGGAGGCCCAGCAAGAGTCTGGTAGACCCCCGATGCTCTTCTGACCCGAGACAGGGCTGCCTCGCCAGCAGGGCCTTAGATGCTTGTCAGGGTCTTCTGAGAACACAGTTCCCAAGGGTGGTTGTACCTTCTAGTGGTAAGGAAGGTAAGGCTGGAGCAGAGGCCTAGCAGGGGCCTGGAGAAAAGACCACCCCATCCCATGCCTGTGTTAGACCTAGCAGCTTGCTTCCTTTCCCCAGCAGCTGTTACTGTCCTAGATACTACAAAGCTACAACATGGCCTGGGGCTGAGGAGAGAGCTGCTTTTAGTGAGGGAGTAGGAAGGACTGCCTGAACTGGCACAGGCAGGCCACGTGAGGGTGCTCATGGACTGCCGGAGGAGTCAGGAATTGATTATAAGCCCTAAAAGTTGGAGTTGAGTCTGTCCTGTCATTGATGGGGTCTCCCTCCTACACTTTCCTCACTGCCCTCAGGGTGAGGCCTGTGAGGGTCAGAAAATCCTGCCTTCATGTGTTTTTGCTCCTGATGGTCGGTAGGCCCAGGGTCTCTTGGCATTCTAACTCTTGGGACTACATGTAGTACCAAGAGTCATACAGGTCCTCAGTTTACCAGAACTGACTGCAAGTTGTTTTTCTGGTCACACCCCTATACATACTGGACCACAGAGTTGTGGCCTGGGTAGGCACCCCTGAGGTAGCTACACCCCCCACCCCGGGGGACCCATAAGTGTCCCTGTGCAGAGACACAGAGGTCCCCTGACTCTTGACTCCTGGGAGGTGTTGCAGAACAGCAGAGATGGGAAACAGGGGAGGGTGATAGAATCCTCCCTGCAGGTGCCCACCTCCACCCCTGCACCTGCCCTTCCCTGGCAGAGACCATCCTGGAGGCCTTGATGTCCAGCAGCATACTTTGCCCCAGGCATATGGATACCAAAGGTGCCTCCGCAGCTGCTCAGAGATGCGCTTTGGAGCAGTGACCAGCTAGCTGCCTTCTTTTTCTTTGAACAGTGATGCTCATAACTTGAGAGTGAATAAATAATTACACTGAGATTGGGAATGGGTTTCATGGTTATCTTTTTTTTAAGATCAGTTCTGTGGAGGCTTAGTTTAGCTATAACAGGATGCCCCTCGTTTAGGTGGAAAACAAATGCACCTTTAGAACATTGAGGGGTATGTTTTATAGGATCAAGGGTTTGGGAATGCTGAGGGGAGATGGAGATCTCCTGTGTCCCTCATGTTGGCATATATTTCCTACATGTGCCTATGCTGCTAATATCTGGGTCCTGACTCCTTTGAAGCCTCTGATTAGGGTCAGCATTTCTTTGTAGGGAAGGGGTCCCCGTAAGGTGGAGGGCCAGGAAGTGGCAGCTGAAAATTTGTTTTAAAATTGCCTGTGGCTTTACTTGGGTCTGCATGGTACTCCGTGTTTCCTCTCCTTAACAGGAGCACTGGGGCAGCTCCCTGAACTCACTTCTGTGAACACAGAGAGCTTGTCCTCTTGTGACTAGTCATGCTGAGCATCATTTCATGTGCCTCTGTCTTCCTGGAGAAATGTCCAAACTCTTTGCCTAACTTTTAAATTGGGTTGTCTTTATTGTTGCAAATCATACAGATTCAAAAGGCATATTTGCCCCACCCTCAGAAGTTATAAGTGATACATATTTTGTAGATTATTAAAACTTAGTGTTCTTCCAGAGCTTCTCTTACCCTTTCCATGTGCAGGAGGTAAACCCAGGACACTAGGTCCAGCCTTTATCAGACTTTCCAAGCTTGCTCTCTGCCTGTTGGATGACTAACTGGCCAGGAGATGTCCATTGTCCAGGTCCCTGTGATCCAGCTGAAGGGCTGCCTCCATGGCTTCTGGGTCCCTGGTCACTAGCACAGGATGTGCTGCTGATAGCATGTTGGCCTGTAGGCTTCTACAGGCAGAAGTTCACTGTCAGGAATCTGCTTAACCTCTGAAGGTCAGTTCCTAGCACTACTTAGAAGGGCTGGTACAGAAGGAGAGGTGCTGGAGAAGGGGACAGAGACCCCCATCTGATGCCTCTGCTCTCCCCTGGTACCCTGGAGAAAGCCCCTCCTAGGTCCAGGGTCCTCATCTGGAGCAGCCTGGTGCTTACCCCCTCAGGCCTGGTAAACACATACTGGAGCTCAGAATGGTTCCATGAGTGCTGGGTGTGCTGAAGGCTCTGCATGAAGGCTAACTGAATCCCAGCAAAGTATACTGGCCTTGAGGGGTGTGTGCAGATGACACATTCCTGACATCCTCAGTTCCCTTTGCAGGACCCTGGCCCCATAGTGGGCTTGAGCTGTCTCAGAGTTTTATCATTAAGTTGGTAATGTGCCTGAGGCTCAGGTGGGACAGGAACCCCAGTTCTAGGAAGGTAGGTCCTGACTGGAATTTCACCTGGGCCTTGGCTACAGTGAGAACTGGGTGGCTTCAGGATGCAGCAGTTCCTTCATAGTTGCTGAGCATGGAAAATGGAGTGTATAGTAGATTTCCAGGTTGACTGGTGTGTGATGTGCACAGAATGCTTTGTGTTCATCTGTCCAAGTGTCATTTAATTCACTGATTTGCGTGAGTACTTATGAATGTAGTTTCCACGGGATACATCATGATCCAAGTCATACTGTTCTGGTGATGGAGTGTGTAATAATAATAATGGTGTCCATTGGTCCTCATGAGCTGGGTGCATAGAAGGCAGAGCTACAGTTCTAACCCAGAAATTAGACTCCATGGGCTACAGAGCAATCCTTCCTAGAACACTTAAATGAAATTAAAAGAGTTAGCAACTTTTATGTTGATAACTGTAAAAGGATCCATGAGAAAGAAGCACCTTGATCTGAAGCAAGTGCAGCTCACCTTTCCCCATAGTGTCCTTGGCCTGCTCATATCTCCCCATCTCAACCATGACTTCACATCTTAACACCAACCATAACTTCTTAGCTCTCCTCACCATGACCTTGACCTTCTTACCCTGACCGTACTGTCATATAGTTCATCTGTCTCCATACTGACTTTCATCTCCCCACATTGACCTTGATCCTCTCACAGTGACCTTGACCTGTCTCTTGGTGTCTTTCTTGTGTTAGTTAGCTTTACTTTGCTGTGACAGAATACCCGAGGAAAACAACTTACAGGGGGAAAAGATTTATTTTGTTTCATGCTTTCAAGTTTCAGTCCATGATCTCCTGGCTGGAATGCAGAAACAGCACGACATGGGGCATGGTGCACGAAAGCTGCTCACCTCATGGCAGCCAGGAAAAAGCCAGAAATGGGCAACCTTTAAAGCTACCTTCCACCAATGACCTGCTTCATCCAGCTTAGCCCCACCTCCTAATAAGCCCTGTCAGCTAGTGAGCTAACTCATAAATGGATTAATCCATTTGGTGAAGTTAGAGCCTTCACAGTCCAGTTAATTCCCAAAGCCCATCAGCTGGTAATCAAGTCTTCAACACAGTGGGCCTTCTGGGGGATATCTTGGATCCCACCCATAACAGTTTTAGTATATGTGCTGCCAAAGTGAGCACAGATCTCACCCATAACAACTGGTCTCTGGGTTCCCCTCCCTGCCCACACTGATGTGATCTTTCCATCCCTTGTCCTTACCTGTGCCTGAACCTTGGCCTGCTCACCCAGCTAAGGTGGCTCTCTTCTTCTGTCCCTAGACTTCGATCTGCACCACTTCTGGCACTGGAGCAGCTTCACTGACTATGTGCAGTGTGTCCTGGCCTTCACGGGTGTGGCGGGCTACATCACCTACCTGTCCATCGACTCGGCCGTGTTTGTGGAGGCGCTGGGCTTTCTGGCTGTGCTGACCGAGGCCATGTTGGGTGTGCCACAACTGTACCGCAACCACCACCACCGCTCCACGGAGGGCATGAGGTAAGGGGTACTGCTGTGGAGTGCTGCCACAGCACTGTGACACTGTCCAAGTACCTGTAGATACAGGGGAATCAAACAGGTGGACACATCAGTCCTTTGGTCTCTTGTCTGGGTGGATGTGTTCATGTGGGATGGGGTGGAAGAGCTCTCTCCTGAGGTGATGATGACCTGTTAGAGCCCATTGAGATTGAGACTTTGAGGAGCAAAATGCCAGGGTGGCTGGATGGGGCAGGCAGACTGCCCACAAGACAAGGGGTAGGGCAGGGCCGGTGACCCTCCCATGGATGCCATTAACTCTGTGGCACTGCCTCAGTGGGACCAGCTTGGCCTCCAGTTGCTAACACGTTGGGCAGAGGTGGGTGCAAGTACAGTGAGGACCAACCAGACTAAAGTAGCGCTGCCTGTGCGCTGCAGGAATAAGCTCCAGAGATGGTATCTGGCACATCAGCAATACAGGTTCATTGGCGATGCTGAAGGGAAACAGTTTTGCTCACAACAGATCAACTGTTAAGGAAGAGGAAGCAGACCAGCCTGTTATTTAACTCAGTACTCTAGTTCTTGCTGAGGACCCCATCCTACTTCTCACTGAGGACCCGATCCCTCCTTTTCGTTGAGGCCTTCAATCTCCTTCTTACTAAGGACACTAAAGGTATGTGTTGAGATGCAGGTGTGCACTTTAAGTAGAGGCATGTGTTGTGGGTTCATGTGTGGGGTGTGGGTGCATATATAAGGTGTGAGTGCAGGTGTGAAGTTGGATAGAGGTGTGCTGGGATGCAGGTGTATGCTGTGGCTTCAGGTAGGAGGCGTTGGGACAAGTTTGTGATGTGGGTGCGGGTGTGAGGTATAGGTAGGTGTAGGTGTGGGCTCCAAGTGGTGTGAACTGTGGCCATGGCTGAGAGTCATTTAAGTACAGGTCTGGGCTTTGCCATAGTGTATAGGTATGAAGGAGGGATCTGAGCTGGTGAGTGTGACCACAGCAAATGAACATCTCTGGGGTCACTGGAGTTGTACAGTGAGGTGGGTGGAAGCTTGAGCTCGGCCTGGGAAGTTTCTTCACTAGTGGGGCCGGCCCGTGAAGGTCCTGGGGCTCAGGTTTGGGGTTGACAGGTGGTGGGAAGTTGGCCAGGACGGGAAGTGGGCATGTAGGGTGAGTGTCTGCTCTGGGTGTGTTGCTATGCTTGTGGAGCAGAGTAGCTCTGGAATTGGGCCTGGACTGAGCATGAGAGGAGCCCTGTTGTTCTGTGTGGAGTTCCCTAGTACTCCATGCTGGGAGATTCCACAGGAGGTCTGTTGTACTTAGCCTTATACTCACACCTGGCAGGGAGTATGGTAGCCATGTGGTGAGGGCCTGAGGCCCAGTCCAACAGTTGCACTCTTGTCCCTTCTCTGCTGGTGAGGGTCTCATAGCGCGGTCTGTCTTTGTAGGAGCATGCAGGATGGGGTGTGCATTCTGCCCAGTGAAACCTACTCAAAGGGCCCTTCCAATGGGCCAACATTCCAGCTCCCTGGAGGAAAGTGTATATTCTGTGGAGCCCACGTGGTTTGCACAGGGGCTGCCCTTGTCTGGTCAAGAATGTGGGAGTCCTCCCCAAATCTGAGTTCCTGCGGGGAGAGGGGACAGGCCTTTCTCAGGACATGAGCTTAGGCTCAGGTGTTAGGTCAGTTCTTCCTGTGCATATGAACATTCCAGAGACTTGGTGGAAGGGAGAGCGCAGCTCTTAGTACTGTGGCCTAGGAGTCCAGTTTCAGCGTGAATGTTGGAGGGACCCAAATGTTCAGACTTGGAGTTCAGATATGAGAAGGGTGTTCCCTACCTAATATGGGAGCACTAAGACCACAACTGCTGTTGCTCAGGTGCCGCCTGCACCTCAGTTCTTACTGAGGTTTTAGCATCACCCATGAGCAAGTTCTGGAAGCCTGGCAGCTTTTCTTCCAGATCTGAGATCTGGAACCCCAGCATTGGATGCCAAGGAGCTTTTAGTCTCTCTGTTTCCAGCTGGGGGCTGAGGTACAGTGGAGAAGGCAGCATGGAGCTAGAAAGGGATGGATCTGCAGAGACCACCAGCTGCCTGCTGGTGAGGCTCCCTGGGGCAGGTACAGGGCTGCTTTGGGTGCCGGCCTGTTCCCACTGCTGCAAGGTTGATGCTGGTCCTGGGGTCTTTCTGTGGTCCCCAGAAAGGTCTTTCTTGCTGGATTGTCTCCTTGCAGGCTCTGAGTAGGGCTCACAGATCTATTCCTGTTGGACTCCTGTGCTGCCCTTGCCCCATTCTGGGTTCTGCTTAAGCTCAGGCATGTGCTGTTTGTGTATCTCCCAGATACCTGTTGGATTGCCCATCATGAAGCCTGACTGGAATGTCTCAGGTTCCGGTAAATCCTGATTTTCTTTAGCTGGAGCATTGTGGTACCCACAGATCTGGTGGGATATGTGATTGTTGAACCCGTTGTGGTCAGTGGTGTCTGAAAATGAATTTCATAGAATATAGTTACTTGCAGTGTTGGATTTAAAACGCTGTATCTAAAATATGTATGGAAGTATATGTGCTTTTAGATGCATAAAAACCAGGAGTTCGGTGGGGTGGAGTAACATGACAGTGTGAAGATTTTGTCTTTTTCTCCAAGGACCCTCTAGCACCTCTGCCCTCGGTTGGGGAGGTATCGGTATCCTGGAATCTATGTCAGGACCTCAGCTTCAACTGCACCTCAAACAGAAGGTCATTAGGATGCTTAAAACCAGAGAGACTTGTGAATTCTTGAGTTGCCTAATTTGAGTATCCTGGTAGCATACTTCCTTCTGGAAAATCCTACCTTAATAGACACACATGCACAGATAGGTGCACACATACACCTGCACACTGGTGTGCACACACTGTGTGTATTTAGACCTCCAGACATTTAGACGCATGCACATACATTCATATGCCCTCTATATACACATACTCATGCATATACATATGTACCTCCCATGTAGCCACACATGTATACAAATGAGTGTTCATACATGCCTACACACAGGTGTGCGCAAACACTAAGACCCATACACATACATGCATACAACAGGCTCATGTACACGAAATGCCCCCAAGGCACAGACAGCACATACATGTACAAGTGGGTGTACATACATATACATGCCTGTACCCATAGGCTTGCACCTAGAGATATACCTATATAGATGCTTATACAGATATGCATAACACACATATACACACATATGCCCCTTCATGCATACAGGCACCTACACCCACACATCTGTACGGTTGCGTGTGCAAATTCACACATGTACATACAAGCATGCACCTAGAACTGCACACACATTAACACACATGCATCACACACCCTCCCACACATGCCTACACAAACACTGTTTCTACCTTGGAATAACTGCCAGAGATACTTTTGAATAATAATTTCCCTGTTGAAAAACAGGAAGTGGTTGTGGCTTTGGAACCAGTGTCAAGAAATAATGAAGCTTTTAAAATAACTTTACTCATTAAAAACCCCGAAAGACAAATTCTATGGGGATGTTTGGATCCTTCTTCCTCCAGGTTTTACTAGATCTAAAGACTGTTCCCTAACAAGTAATTATTGGAGCGCGAGGGTGGGAGCAAATAATAAGAGGAGGCCGAGCATTCAGCCTCCAGCATTAGGACTCATTATTATTGAGGAACAGGGAAGGAATGCGCCGGGGAACACATTGGAAATGCAGAACTTGGAGGCAGAGACATTGTAGATTGAGTGGGGCAGACACCCTGCTGCACGGCCATGGTTGTGAGTGCGGATAAGAGGCCGTAAGGACGGACGGGGTGATGGAAGGCGGCAGATAGGTATGGCCAAGGCCTTGAGGAGGAAGCTGAGGCACAGGCCACCCTTCTTGGCTGTGGTGACTAGACTTTGCACATCTGTGTGTTCTTTCAGGGCCATTCCAGCCACTTGGCTGAGTCGTCGGAGACGGTGGCCTCATGCCATTGCAGGTCGCATCCAGGAGCTGGCTCTGCACCTCGCCTGTCCTGTGCAGGCCCCTTAGATCCATAGCCTTTTTGGGAACAGAGCATCTCTTTGTCACTCTCATAAGAGGCTGACAGATCTGTGAGTGGAAGGTGCTGTGTACCACATGTGTGATTAAGCAAGCCCTGGAACACACAGGCTAGTTGGCCTGTCCACTGGAACAGGAGGGCTGGAATAAAGAGTTAAAAGCCCTGGGACATTAAAAAAATGATACGTAATTCACATGCCATAAATCACCAGAAGTGTACCATTTAATAACCTTGGTGTACACACAGTTTGTGCATCTACCAGTCTAATTCTAGAGCATTTTTAGCACCCTAAAGATTTGTAACCCGTACTCATTTGCAGTTATTCTCCATTTGTTCCAGGCTCCTGTGTCTGCCACCCCCCTCCCCAACCCACCACTAATCCACTTTGTCTCTCCTATTGTTCCTTTTCTGGACACTTCACATATATGGACCTTACAGCGTGTACCCCTTAGTATCTGGTTTTTCTGCAGTGGAATGTTTTCAAAGTCTAACCATGTTGTAGATATGTTGGTACTTCATTCTTTTTATGGCCAAATAATGGTTCATATGAATGTACCAGGTTATGTTTATCCATTCTTGAGTTGATGGACATTTGAGTTGTTCAGCACCTTTCAGGCTTTTATGACTAATGCTTCCCTGAACATTAATGTGCATGTTTTTAGGAGGATATTTGTTTTCTTTGCTCTTGGACAAATGCCTAGCTAGGATGGCTGGGTCGTGTGGTAGGGGCTGTAGCTGTTTTCTGTGGTGTCTGTACCATTGCACATTCCCACTAGCTATGTGTAGGGTACTGATTCCCCAAGGCCCTTTCCGCACTTGTCTGCCCTTTTTTCCAGCCATCCGTGTGGGTGTGTAATGGTGTCTTGTTGCTGGTTTGTTTGTTTTACTGTACTGGGGTTTGAGCCCAGAGCCTCACTTATGCTAAGCAAATGTTCTACCACTGGGCTACATCCTCAGACCTTTTTATTTATTATTTTGAGACAAGGTGTCACTGGGTTGCCCAGGCTGTTCTCAAACCTGCAATCCTTCTGCCTCAGCCTCCTGAGTGGCTGAGATTATAGCACCACTGGGCCTGGCTTATTGCAGTTTTGATTTGCATTTCCCTGCTGACTAATGGCGTTGAGCATCTTTTCATGTGCTTATTGTCCTCTGTTATATATTCTTTGGAGAAATGTCTGTTTAGGCTCTCTGCCCATTTTTAAATTGGTTATTTGTGGGGGGGTTTTTTATTACTGGGTTGTAAGAGTCAAAAAATATATAAAATATATATATATCCTGGATATTAAAATGTTTCAAATACATGATTTATAAATATTTTCTCCCATTCTGTGGTTATCTTCTTCATTTGTTGCTGGTGTCCCTTACAGCATAAGATTTTAACTTTGATGAGCCCGGTGTGTGTTTTTCTTATGCTCATATTGTTGATGTCTCACCTAAGAGAGCTTTGCATAACCTAGGATCATAGACCACTTTTAGAGGTCTACTTTGGGTAGGTTTTCATTGTGGGTGAGCTCTTGTGGTGGAAGAGCTTGTCATGCCCCTTGTCATGGCTAGGGGCAGAATGGGCCACGGCTGGAAGGCAGTCCAAGCAGGTGCAGGAGCTGGCTCTCATCTTCCTGGCATGAAGGGAAAAGGCATTTCTGACGGCTGCCTAGGGTAAGGATGAGGTGAGAGGTATTTTAGGAACAGTGACCTGATATTCCAGTTTGGAAGAAGAATATTACAGCCGAGGATGAGGTAATGGGAACCCAGATTAAAACAGTGGTGGTGGTGGAGGAGGTCAGGCCAAGAGGTACTGAAGAGGGCAACAGCCACAGTAGGGGCCTGAAGAAGTAATCATAGGCCATCAGCCCCCAGAATGACCTAGAAGTAGAAAGCCTGGGTCCCTGAGTGACAGTCTCCCTCCCACCTATACTGGCTCCTCCTACAGGGTTCTCTGTCTTGAGGGTGGGCCTCCTGAACTGCACCTATTTGCCAATTAGAACCAGCACTTTCCTTTGTCCAGGGATGGAGGGACTTGGGGGGAGGGTGGCTCACTACTAGTTGGTCAAGGCTAAGCTCAGGGTGCTTTAGGAAGCTACTGGGTAGCAGAACTTCTGGGACTTGCTCTTTGAAGATGCTGTTGAGGCTGAAGTATTATGGAAAACTCAGTGTGGGGAAAAAAGGTAATTCATTGTCTCAGGGGAAGTAACACACTGAAAATTCCAACAGGCAGAACTGAACACTCTGGGTCCATGTAGAACCTGAATGTCTGCCCTCATGGTGCCTACAAGTGAGAACAAGTCATTCAGGATGGGCCCAAGCACCTGACCTGCTACCTGTCTTCCCTTCCCCATCCCTCAATGGCAGTTACATTTCTGTCCCAGGGAACAGCTGCGTGATCACCCACAAGATGTCCCACCTGAAGTGCAAAGTACAAGCTGGGCATCTAGGCAGCTAAAACTATCACCAGGCACAGGGTGCTACCCTATGCCAGCAGTGACCTCTTGTCTCCCTTGCTGTGGTGGACAGTGTGCTTGTGCATTCAGGGCTCCAGGGTCACTCACAGCAAAGAACCCAGGAAGATTGCCTGGGAGAGGGACAGGACAGGTGGTCCTGGGGTCAGAACTGCAGCTGCACTTCCTGTCACCCTGGAACCTGACCTTTCCAGGCTTTGGAGTTAAACCCATAGGATCCCACACCTGCTTACTCTGTGATGTGATATTGGGAGAATTACTTAACTTCTTTGCCCAACAGGGTCACCAGGCCCCTTTGTGGTGTTTTGTTTGTTTATTTGCAGTAGTAGGGATTGAAGTCAGGGATTTTGCACACATCCCCAATTTTTTGTTTTTTTAATTTTTTTGAGACAGGGTTTCACTGTGTAGTTCAGGCTGGCCTTGAACTCACTATGTAGTCGAGGCTGGCCTCAAACTCAGTGATCCTCCTGCCTCAGCCTCCCAAGTGCTGGGATTACAGGCGTACACCACCACGCCCAGCTCCAGACATTATTAGTTTTATTTTTTTTTGAGACAAGTTCTTGCTAAGTTGCTAAATAATCCAGGCTGGGCTAGAATTTGGAATCTCCCTGCCTCAGCCTCCTAGAATGCTGGAATTATAGATATGTGCCACCATACTGGCTACCTCTTGGTGTTTTGCAGTTGCCTCAGGCAGATGCTCAGCACTCATGTGCAGTTGTGAGGAGCAGCTGCCTTTTTCATGGGGCTGTCTCATTCCTTGCTGGTTGTCCACCTTTGTAGCAGAGCAGGTACAAACCCAAACCAAGTCACACCTGGTTTCAGTCTCTCAATGGGCTACCTGTGCTCCTGGGTCACACTGCTCACCTCTGTATGTCTCCCTGTTCTCCCAGGTCACTGCTGACCTCCCTGACCTCCCTGTGTGTCTTGTCTTCCTGATTCACCTCTGACCACCCTCTTGTGTCTCTGCAGCCTCAAGATGGTGCTCATGTGGACGAGCGGTGACACCTTCAAGACAGCCTATTTCCTGCTCAATGGCGCACCCCTGCAGTTCTCAGTCTGTGGCCTGCTGCAGGTGCTGGTGGACCTGGCCATCCTGGGGCAGGCCTACGCCTTCGCCTACCATCCCCAGAAGCCAGTGCCCCACGCAGCACACCCTGCCAGTGCCAAGGCTCTTTGAGGCAATCAGGAAGTACAAGGACATGTGACTGCCAGCCTTGGGCACCGACCAGTACTATGCTCCCTGTGTTAGGGAGGGGTCCTGTGGTCCATGCAGAAAGGCCATGTTGGCAGAGACAGTCTGGGTGTGGGTTCCCCACCAGCCTGCTGTGGAGCACTCAGGGCAGGCAAGCTAGGGCCAGCATTTATGCTCACCACCACAGGTACTGTGAAAGTGGGTCTCACTCTCAGGGCCAGCCTGCAGGTATTTTCAAGGTGGTGTTCTCTTGGAAAACACGGGCCTGACCCTGAAACGGGTCTGCAGTCCCGTGATAGGGGATTGAAGTGCTCAGTGACCTTCTTGGCCTGGCCCACTGCATAGCCCCCCTCGGTGATCCTGTGGGAAGAAGGCTTTCAGCTCCAGGGATAGCAGGTGAGGGTCTCAGCTGCTGGCGGTCCTGCCCCACACTCTGCTCCCCATCGTGCCAAGCTGTGAGTCCACTGTGCCTGAGGTGGGTGCTGCTGGCCGGACGCTTGTCACTGTCTTCCGCCCCTTTCACTTTAACCCGAGGTCGTGCCATTCCCAGCAGCCCTATGCTGAGCCGGCCATTTCTGGCTAGGGTTCCAGATGCTTCTGTGTGGCTCCTATAGATGGCATCGTCCCTTCTGCTGGCCAGAGGGGCTGCTTCTGGTGCACAGGTCTCTGCTGTCTGCCGTCAGCACTAAGGCTCTGCCACAGCTACCGTGTAACTTGCTGTGGCTGGTGGGAACGCATCCGTGCTGTCTCCACCTTTGGAGTTTCCCTCAGAACTCTTGAATGTTTGAGTGAGGCTCTTGCTTACCTCTTCGGCTTATAAAGATGCTTTGAAAATGTGTATTTTTAAAAAATGAAAGGAGATGTGTCTAGTGGTAATTCCCTCTAAATTAAAATATCACTGATTTCAGGGTGCAGAATGAATGTACCCCATAGGGCAGCTTTGTAATAATAAACTGCTTGTAGACCCATTCTGGCCTGGGGATGGAGTCAGAACCAACCTGACAGGGCAGGGCTCGGGGTGAGTCAGGGTTGAAGGGCCCATCGAGGAACTAGGGACCGGGCACCAGTTTGGTCATAAGATGAGTGCTTGGTCCTGGAGTTTCTGGACACAAGTTACTCTCCTCAAGGATGACAGCTAGTTCCATGTAAGATCAAGACCTGTGGCAGTGACAGGATTGTATACATCCAAGGATGTGGAGCCGGAGGCTTTGGGGGATCACTGGCCGTCTGTGGCTGTTACTGAGGAAGTTGAGGTACAGAGAAGCCATACCCTGCCCCCATTCACTGGCACTGTGTTCAGATGGCCCCAGAAGGGCCTTCAGATGGCCAAAGCCGTCCTAACACTGTGTTCCCACAGTCCGCTGGCCACAGTGGCCATCCTCAGCACCATTTTCAGGGACTAGGAATAGATCTCAGCCCAGCTCTATGTTGGAGGGTGGTGAAAATAGCCACGTTTTTTAGCTCGGTCACATGACTGCTGTCCTGAATGACTTCAGTCACTTTGAACAACAGATGTACCCAGGAAGCAGCTAGTATACTGTCATGTCTTGTCAGAATCCCACAGCAGGTGTTTCCTGTAAGGATTTAATTCAAGTGTGAGGGAGTGGGCTGGCGGGAATCTGGAGGGTTCATGTCTCCTGAAACCAGACAGGAAACAGACCCACCCTGGCTCCAGCCCTCTGCCTTTCCTGTGTGGGAGGGTGGTTCCCCTGGTGCCTCCAGAGGGTAAAGGAACCTAGGGGCTGGGTAGTCTGTTGCCTTAGCAAGAAATGTGTCTGTCCCCAACCCACTGTTCTCAGCAGAGCTGGCTGACACCCCCTCCTATCTGGTGACCCAGGGTCGCTTTTGGCACTCAGGCCCTGGTCTTAGAGGCTCCTGGGTGCTGGCCAGACTCACTATGGTTCCCACTGGTCATTCCCAACCATGTACCTGGCCTCTGAGGGACAACCTAGGTTTAATCCCAGGGGTATTTATCGTGCAGGTCAGTGCCCCCTGCACAGGAGGAATTATCTTGTCCTCGGAAGACGAGTAGCAGAAGGTGTGGCACCCTGAACTCAGGCCTAATGCAGGAGGTCAACAACGTCTTAGCCAGTGGCAAGGCCTGCTGTCCAGCCTCGAGGCTGCCCTGTGAGGGCTGCCCACAGCATGCTGTGGAGCCCCACCCCTGTTGAGGGCACAGGCCGAGAGCAGCTGGGCCTGAGTGCAGGTTCCCTCAGGTGCCTTCCGACTCCAGCCCAGCTTTGCAGGAAGCTGTAGCTTTCAGGTGGACTCGCCTGTTCATGCTTTCTCCTAGCCTTTACCACTGGCCTTGATCCTGGTCTGTGGCCCAGTAAGGAGAAGAGGACTTTGCCCCAGGGAGTCCAGGGGGCCAGGTGCTTAGCAGTGCTAATTCTCAGGTCCTTGCCGCCCACACTGGCTGGGTGGGCAGGTTTCAGCCAGGGTACTATGTCTAGTTGGGCCATCTTGGGCAGCTGCTCCCAAGTCTGAAATAAGGGCATCTTTTCTGCCCTAAGGAGCCTGTGTAATGATCTGAAAGAAAGTGGGGTAACCTGAAAAGTAGCCAAGTGGGCGACTCAATTCCCCCATGTTTGCTGGGCTCCTCATCTGACCCAGGAAGTATGCTGCTTGGTCACTGGCAAGACCAAGTTATTGTTTCCCTGCATCCCAGGGTTCTTGCCTCTGTGCCTTGACTGGCAGATGAAATGGGTGGAGCCAGGTGCCTGTGTGCCTGTCATTACATTGATGGGGGCAAAGAGGAGAAAGACAAGGGTGAGGAGCTGAGGCCCAACCCACACCACCTGCGAGAACCCAGGGGCAGTGTGGAAATCTCAGCGCAGTCTAGCACCCTGAGATCACCCAGCCCTGCCCAGGGGACCAGGGACCTTGTGAGGCTGGGTTGGCAGTTAGACCTGGGAACCTGGCTCATTGCTTCAGACTGAGTGTCTGCACCACTAGGCTTTGAGTCAGGGATGCTGGCAAGGTCAGATGCATTCTGGTTACTCCAGCCATAGGCATCTACTGGCTTCCACCCCATCACAGGAAAACCCCTCTCTGACCCCTGGAACTCGGCACTCAGAGGGCCCCAGGGCCCCAAGGTGACACTGCCCCAGAGGAATTCAGCCTGGAGCTGTGCAGGAGGCCGGCATTTTTTATTGGGTTGCAGTGAATCCCAGGAGTGTCTGCAGCTGCAAGGGTCCTACATAGGCCTCCCCACACACCATGGGCCCTGCCAGAAGCTACCAGACAGTGGGGCAGAGGGGGTGCCCCAAGACGGTGGGACCCCCTGGGTGGTACATTCTATGGTTGCAGTAGCTCAGGTGTGGTGGCAGAGCTCATTAAAATGAAGGAATACAGAGCAGCATGATTTGGAAAGTTCCATTCTTCCCGTCCCCACGGAGAAGAGAAAGGCTCGTACTTGGGGAAATCCCCCCCCCCCCACCCCAGTGTTCCTGTGGGAGCCACCTGGAGGAGACCCCATCCATCCTCTAACCGCTTCCCTGCCTTGAGAGGGGAGGTATCAAGTCTCGGAGCTGTTCCAATAGAGGAGAGGCAGTGTTCTGGAGGGCTAAGCTATGGGTCGGAAGACCAGCTGGGGGGCAGGGAAAGGGTTCCGTTCAAATGCCCACATGCAAAGCTTGAGCTCTGCCAGCCTAGAAGAGGCCAGGTCACTTGAGGAGCTGGTGTCGGAACGGAAGTCCAAGGTGAGGAATTACACTGGAAGCTCATGGCTTTCTGGAGGCAGGCCAGCGACCCCGCCCCGGAAACAAGTTCACGCGGCTGCAGTCCACACTATCCGTTGGTGGCAAGGCCATGGTGTCCTCGAAGCTCACTTAGCGACTCAGGGAGATCGTGCCCCCGGCTGAGCTCATGCCCTCAGGGTCCTGCGAGCTGTCCTCAGTGGCAGTGGCTGAGCGCGTGCTGTCCTCGCCCAGGGCCGGCTCGGGGCTGGCGGCGCGCTGCTGCTGCTCTTTGAGCTCCGAGTAGGAGCGTGAGAAGGTGTGGAAAATGGAGGTGACTGGGAAGGCCATGAGCAGGATGCCGCTCAGTATGCTGCTCAGGGCCACCACCTGGCCCGGCAAGCTGCGCGGCACCATGTCACCGTAGCCCACGGTGGTCATAGAGATGACGGCCCACCAGTAGCTGGCCGGCACGCTGGAGAAGTCGCGGCGCGCGCCCAGCTCACGCTCAGCCAGGTGCACGAGTGGTGCGAAGAGCGCCATGGCTACGCAGAGGAAGAGCAGGAGCAGCCCAAACTCGCGTGCGCAGCGGCGCACCGTGAGACCCAGCGAGCGCAGCCCCAGCGAGTGGCGCGCCAGACGCATGACGTAGAGCACACGCAGCGCGCGCAGCAGGCGCAGCACCAGCCCTGCGCGCTCCAGCAGCTTGCTGCCGGCGGGTCCGGCCGCCAGGCCGAGGAGCAGCGAGACATAGAAGGGCAGGATGGCCAGGATGTCGATGATGTTGAGTGGCGTCCGCAGGAAGGCGCATTTACTCTCGGCCTGCAGCGAGCGCAGCAGGAACTCAAAGGAGAACCAGGCCACACACACCGTCTCCAGCACGAAGAGGCTACGGCACTTCTCGGAGCACTCGCCCTGGAGAGGAGAGGGGACACGCGGTTGGTTGGCAGAGCACTCACCCTTGGCGGGGAGAGGGCATACGCTGCTGGGACAGGACAGCGCGCCGCGCCATCGATCCAGGGAAAGTGTGCCAGGGGCTATGGAGGATGGGGAGGAATCCTGTTGAAAAGACCTAATTCCTGTTTAAAAAAAAAAAAAAGGTGGAACTACAGACCGTCGTGACAAGTGGAGTAGACTCAGTTACGTCTGCATGTTTCCTCTTGTATGAGAAACCAAAGGAGCGATGACAGAAAATTAGAGGAGCGTTGGATATTGAAGAGGATCAGAGACAGGAGGAAAAGGAGTGCGGGTAATGGGATAGAAAAAGACCACAATATATTAAATGCATGCACTAATTTACCAAAATGAACCTCATCATTTTGTATTACCAACATGCACTAATAATAAAAATGTTTTTTAAAAAATAATTTAATTAGACATTCAGTTTTTAAAAAATATTTAATTGGACATTAATTGGTATGAGATCTGATGCACCCTGTTGAATGAAGAAACTGGAAAGTTACTTAAAACCCGAAACCACTTAAGGCCTCTCAAATGATGACCTTCCATACCTACAAGAAAGAAGAAAGGTTGAAAATTACCAAACAAGTATGCCGCCCCGAGGTTGTGCCCCGGGCACCCTCAGGCCACCCCATCCCTGCGCCCCACTGGGAGCCGAGCGGCCTGGGGGTGCGCCTGGCTGAGCTGCGCGCGGCGCTGGGCCTACGGTGGGGGCGCAGGTGGTGCTGGTCCACGCCAGTGCTGGCTGCCTTTGCAGCCTTGTACTGGAGCCACATAACTCACCTCTTTGAAAATGACCGTCATTTTTCTCACCTCTACACTGGAAAGGGAGATGGCTTTTCACACTGAAATGGGACTGTATTATTCTTACTTCAAGACCATTGTGGAAGCACCCTCATTTCTGAATGGACTGTGGATGATTATGAATGATAAACTGACAGAATACCCCCTAGTCATTAACACATTGAAAAGGTCCGATCTGTACGCTGAGGTAATCTTGTCCAGATGGTACCGGATTTATATCAAAACAATGGCCTTTATTGGTGTTCAAACCAAGATCTGTTGAACAGGTACCAGAGGAGAAGGACTCAGTCCTGTGGAAAGCTGTGAAGGATTGGGAGATCCTATTTGCTTTTATGTTGCTGTAATTTTTATTTTAAATGGACTGATGATGGCACCTATTTAAGTCTTCAAATAGGGAAGGAGATGATCCAGTAGAAAAACAGATGAGACCGGGAACAGGCCGTTCACAGCAGGGAAATGTGTGATGTCAGAACCGAAGGGAACTCTGAATCGAGGCTCAGACAAGTAGGCCGGAAGCAACAGTGTGCATGGCAGTGGAGTCTGTGTCTACTTGAGGCAGAGGGCAACCAGTCTCAGCATGCGGGGAGCTGCGTCAGCCCAGCCGAGTCTTCCCGCAAGGTGCGGGCCTGTCCTCGCCTCTGTCCTCGGGGAGCACAGGCACACCAGCATTGCATATTTGTGAGGATGTCTGCCTTCTACAGAATCATAGCAAGAGACTGAAACATATCCCTGAGTCTAGAACAAGGAAAGGCCTGAACAAATTGCATACATTGGTAGCACACGATATTTGATGTTTATAAAAAGAATGTCTTAGGTTACTTGTATTGATTAGGAGAAACCTTCTTGATTAACTAGAGAAAGAACAAGTTTCAGGGGAGTGTGCATGGTCCATTCATCAGAAGCATGTTTTGTGTGGTTGTGGAGGAGGACGGGCACAGAAGGGCTCAGAAGCCTAGGGTGCAAGTCAGGGTCCACATTACTTATTTTGAATAGGGAGTACTATTTGTCTTATTAGAATATTAAAATTTATTATTTTTAAAAACCCTTAAAAAAATTGCCAAACAACCTAACCTGTCACCCTAAGACAACTGGGAAAAGATGAGCAAATAAAACCGTTAGCAAGTAGAAGGAAGGAGGCAGTAAAGGTTAGAACAGAAATGAATGAAAAAAGAAAACAACACTGAAGCCAAAAGCTGATTCTTTGAAAAGATCTACAAAATGACAAATCAAATCTGTAGCTGGTGTGACCAGGAGACGGAAGACTCAAGCTACCAGAATCAGAAATGCAAGAAGAGACATTATTGCTGCCTGAAAAGGAGTAAAAGGGACCATAGGCAACAAGCACTCCAGATAATGGTGGTGACCAGCTGGATATCTTAGATTAAAATGTATAAACTTTAGAGAGGCAAACTACAGAAATGGGCCTAGGAAGAAACAGACCATCTGAACAGAACTAAGGCAAGTGAGTTGGCAAACTACTCACCGAGAAAGTCCAGGGCCAAATAGCTTCACTGTTGGAATCTGCCAACAAAATGCTAATAACAAGTCTTTACAAACAACCAACAAATACTGGAGTCCCAGCTTATTCTGTCAGGCCAGTATTTACCTTGATTAAAAACAAACGAAAAAGGCTGGGGATTTAGCTCAGTGGTTTCGCCACCTGCTGTGCAAGCTCAAGGACCAGAGTTTGATCCCCGGTACCAAAACAAAACAAACAAAAATAAAGTTATCATAAAACTACAGACCAATATCTCTTACACATACCAATGTAAGAAGCCTAAGTAAAATATTAACAAACGATCCAGCAGCAAATGAAAAGACAGTTGGGTTTATCCAGGGAAGCAAGTTTAGTATCTGAAAATCAACTAATATAATAAATACATTATAATCATAACTGAAAAATCACATAATCATATCAACACAAAAAAAGATTTTGACAACCAACATTTTTTCATGACAAAACACTCAACAAGCTAGCAACTTCTAAAAGGCACCCACAAAATCCCATAGCTGACATCCTATAGATGAAGATTGAATGCTTCCACTAAGATTAGGAACAAGACAACCACACCTGCTCTTGTCACTCTTAACAGTGTACTGAAGGTTCTAGCCAGGATAATCAGGCAAAAGGAAGGAATGGAAGTTATCCAAGCTGGAAAGGAAGAAATTGGATTCTATTTGCAGATGACCCAACCACTAAACCCACTAAAAAAACCCTACTAGCGCTAACAAATGAGTTTGATAAGGTTGTAAGACATAATATCAATATACGAAAATAAATTCTTTCTGTAGCAAACTTAACTGAACAATTTGAAGAATTAATTTAAGAAAAAAATTCCATTCAAAATAGCATCATGAGGTATGCCTGTAATCTCAGGACTCTAGGAGGCTGAGGCAGGAGGTTTGCAAGTTTGAGCCCAGCCTGGGCAACTTATCGAGATCCTGTCTCAAGATAAAAAGTAAAAAAAAATAACTGGAGTTGTAATTCATTGCAAAGGCCCTGAGTTCAATCCTTAGTGCCACCAAAAAAAAAAAAAAAAAAAAAAAAAAACCTACGATGTAGCTTGGTGGTACAACACTCAGCACTCCTTAAGAAGATATACAAACTGCCCATAAGCAATGAAAGAATGCTTGACATCACTAGTCATGAGGGAAATGCACAAAAAAATCACCATGAGGTTCTCTTCACACCCAGTGGAAGAGTAGAATCAAGAAGTCAGACAGTAAGTATCCAAAAGAAGATGGAGAAACTACAATTTTCAAACATTGCTGGTGGGAATGTAAAAATGGCCCAATCACTCTGGAAAACTATCTGGCAGCCCTCAAATGACTAAGCAGAGTTCCTATATGACCCAGCAACTCCACTCAAAGGTATTTGTCCAGGGGCTGGGGATTTAGCTCAGTGGTTTTGCCGCCTGCTTGCATAAGCACAAGGACCCAAGTTCGATCCCCAGTACCAGAAAAAAAAAAGGTATTTGTCCGAAAAAAGGGAAGCATATGTCTACACAGAACCCCATACATGAATTTTATACCAGTGTCATTAATAAGAGATGATAGGGAAACCAATCCAAATGTCCACCAGTGGATGAAAGGATAAACAAAATGTAGTGTATACAATGGAATTCTGCTGGGTCATAAAGAGGAATCAAGTACTGGCACCAACATAAATGAACCTTGGAAACGTGAGAAAAACCAGATATAGAAGATCACATACTTCATGATTCCATTCATATGAAAACTAAGGAAACTGATAGGGTCAGAAAGTGGATTAAAGGCTGCAGGGGCTGTACAGGGTGGCAGAGGAGTGACCCTAAGGGCACAGGGCTGCTTTTATGCTGAAACTGACTGAGGGCTGAGCAGTCTGTAATAAGCTAAAAATCATGGAATTGGATACTTTAAATGTGTGAATTGTATAGCATGTGAATTATATATCAATGGCCAGTACGATGCAGCTGTGGGTGGCCACCCCAGCCATGGGGGTATGTACAGGGGCTTCTAGAGGTGTCAGTTGACAGGAGAAGAGGGGCTGGCCACAAGCAAACCTCATACTGCTGCATCTCACCTTCACCCCAGTGCAGCCAACATCCCACTCCAGCCCACAGTTTCCTCTGCTCACAACACAGCTTGCCAGTTCCAAGTCCCCTAGACACCTCTTTCCAGAGAGTTTCTGGAGGGAACCTCGGTCACAGTACTTCTATCTGAGCTCCTGGCCCTCTGCTTTCCAGGTCTTGGGACCACCTCCTACAAGGAGCCACCCACAGTAGCCTACCCTTGCTGGGTCAGGTCCCTGTGTGTGTCTGAAGACAGAAGCCTTGAGTTTGAGGCCTGGGAGGGGACATGGGGAGAAGGCCCTGAGCGGAGGGTGGTAATGAGACAGGAGGTCGAGCAACATCCAGTAAACAAGCCATGGGGCAAAAATTGAGAAACCAGACACAGCAAAGTTGACTATGTCAGAACATCAAGAAACCAACAGATAAAGGTCATCCCAGCCCCCAAAGGCTCCTAGGCATATGCAAAACCCGAAGTATAGGACACTGCCCTGTGCCCAACCTCATTTGCTTTGCTGTTCGACTCCCCACTGTCCCACCCCACCCCATGGTTTGGATGCTGTCACACTTCCTGTAAAACCTTATATGGTCTAAAACGCCCTC